GGTGGAGACCAAACCTCAGGAGGTGGAGACCAAACCTGGAGATAAAAGAGGAACACTGGACTTAAACTGTTCCCAGATCGTGTTCCTGCTGCTTCACAGGAGAAACTCACGACAGTCGTGAAACAATGATGAAATGTTTGTGACCTCATCTACGCGCTCTGTGTGACGTCATGATGCCGATTGTTGTCTCTGTCTCTTAGCAACGGCAGCGACGCTCCGCAGACCACCGCCTGGAGCAGCACAGGTGAACCTCACACGCTTCTACTCGTGTTTATGTGACGTGAACGATCATCATGTGTCTCCAGTCGTTATCAGGACAGTCCAGATAACTGCTGATTAATGAATGAGGTCATTCACTCACTGGCTTATGTCATCGTCCTCCTAATAATAACCTGTGATGTCATCTTGTAGAACATTAAAACATCATGGAGAACATTTTTTTCACGTTCCCAATCTTTCTGTAAATGTTTAAACTTTTCTCTCCTGTAGTCCCGCCCAGCCGCCCCCCCGGCCCCGGGCCCCCAGATGTGGACTTCTGTGACCTGTTGTACTGTGACGAGGTGTACTGCTGCCCGTCGACAGCAGAGGGCAGCACTGACTTCAACGTCACTGGGCCGGGCGGAGCAGAAAAAACAAACGTGACAGGTAACGACAGGCCGACGCTCGTCAACATTAAAAAACACGATTCACGATTTAATGTGTTTTTTTAATTTATTTCTCCTGCAGGAAAACTTTATCACCAACTAGAAGGTTCCAAAGACTGTAAGTGTCTCCATCTTTAAAGAAACACAACGATTTTATTTTGACAGATTCTGAAATGAATGAAAATATAGCAGAGAGCTTTCCACAGTGAAAACTCTCTGCTGCCCCCTGGTGGCCTCCGTTGTTTTTGTATAATGAAATTTACCGAGCGTCTTCAACAAATGTGACGATGTGACGATGACTCTTGGCTCCGTCAGGGAGAAACACCACCATCCATTCTTTCCTGATCAAAGAGAACCAGCAGCTGATCGACAGTAGATACTGCGTCAGAGACGACTGTGGGTCAGTGACGACTCTTTATTCACAACGTTCATCAACAGTGATATCAAGTGTCGTGTTTAAACCTGTTCTTAAAATGAACGGCTGCATGTTTCACTTTCATCCTGAGGAGAAGACGATGTCATGAAACAAATTTAAACAAATCATAATTTAGTGTGTTTTTCGTTTTCCAGAGTGAGTGTGATTGTGTTCCTCTGGATTCATGATGTCGTTGTTTCCTTCAGTCCAGGTAGATTCATCTACAGAGTTCCCATCAGCCCCTTCGTCCCCGTCAACATGAGAGTCACTCTGCTCATGAAGTAAGAAATAAAACACACATGAAATTAATAAACTTCGTCTCAAACATGAAATATTCATTTCATCACA